GTGATCCGCCTGCGTCGGCCTCCCAAAGTGCTGGGATTACAGGAATGAGCTACCATGCCCGGCTGACTGTTAACAGCTTCTAATATGGCTTTTCATTATTTCACTCAGCAAATGTTTTGAACATTTCTTGTATATGCTGGGAATACAGGATTGTGAACAAGACAGACATAATGGCTATTAAATTGGTAGTCTGAAGGGGAAGATCTACATTAAATAAATTTTTTTTTACTGCTATTTTTGTCCTAGTCATAGTAATGGAACTAAAATATATTTGGGTACTTTAAATTGCATATTACGATAATTACACTGATTTATTCTGGAATATTCTAGGTCTTATAGCAATACTTAAATTTTTTTTGAGATAGAGTTTCGCTCTTGTTGCCCAGGCTGTAGTGCAGTGGCGCCATCTCAGCTCACCGCAACCCTCACCTCCCGGGTTCAAGCGATTCTCCTATCTCAGCCTCCCAAGTAACTGGGATTACAGGCATGCACCACCATGCCTGGCTAATTTTGTATTTTTAGTAGAGACAGGGTTTCTCCATGTTGGTCAGACTGGCCTCAAACTCCTGACCTCAGGTGATCTGGCCTAGGTGATCCACCCACCTTGGCCTCCCCAGGTGCTGGGATTACAGGCATGAACCACCATGCCTGGCCAATACTTAAATATTTTTATATGAAAAAATATGTATTTTTTTTCTCAGGTACTCCCAATTTCATGGAGAGATTTTTCAGAAAAAAGAAAACCCCTAACTTGAAATTTCCAGTTATAGTGTGACACTTCCTTTTTCTTTTCTTTTCTTTCTTTCTTTCTTTCTTTTTTTCTTTTTTTTTTTTACTCTTCCTAATTGGTAACCATGTCTTGGTGATTCTTTCCCATACTCCTCTATTTCCATATTGTATACTGATGCCAAGGCTAATTAATATTGGTTTTGATTATGTCTCAGCCACAAACTATAGTAATGCATCCCCCAGTTATTTACAGCATGTAAAGCTCACTAGCCTTGCACTGAATAATCTATACTACAGCTTCAATCTCAGCTTCAATCTATCTACTACCTTGACTCTTCCTTTTATGACAGCCCGTGCTCCAAAATGGTTTGCCCCTGCCTGGTAAGCCCTTTTCTACCTTTCTTATCAAAATACTATTCATCCTTCAGGATCTGACTGGCAGCAGACTATTTTCCTAAAATACCTCTTTAGACAGATTTAATTCTCATTGATCTTTTGTCTGAATTGTGTTAGTATTTTTTGTCAGCCTCACTGACTTTTGCATGTATTGTCTTATATTTGTGCTTTTTTGTATATCTTAATTTTTAAATTGGATTTAAATTGGATATGCGTTTAGAGGAAAGGACATAAGAGCAGAGAGAGAGATAGAACTTGCCTGATCTTGGCATCATCTTCAGACCTTAGATACGTTTTTAATGCTGTAAGTAATGACGGTTGTATAAATTGTGAATTTATTCTTCAGCCTACTTTTAGATAACACTGAAGTCTAAAGGTATAGATTTGAAACAAATGGAAAATGAGATCCCTGAACATTTTGTCTTTATTTTTATTTTTTTACTTTCACCCATTAAATTACTTGAATTTTTTTTTTTTTTTTTTTTTTGATATTTTGTAACCGTTAGGAAGGGTAAGGTCCAAATCAACTGGAGTATTTTTTTTAGTCTCATAAATACCTGATTACCTGCAATATGCAAAAGTGTACAGTCACTTTACCACAGTACACTTAGTAGCAACACATCTTGTGCTTAAAACCTGTGTTTCAGCGAGGCGCAGTGGGTCACGCTTGTAATCCCAGCACGTTGGGAGGCTGAGGCGGGCGGATCACAAGGTCAGGAGTTCGAGACCAGCCTGTCCAATATGGTGAAACCCCGTTTCTATTAAAACAACAACAACAACAAAACCTGTGTTTCTAGTTTGAAGTCCTAGAAAGTAGAGAATAAGAGTGAGGTTTTTGTGTTGGTGTTTCAGACTATAAACTTAAATGGCCTCAGAGAATTGGGTTAGTGCTTGTTCATTACTTAGGTTCCATGAAGACTATTTAAATAAAAATAAAGCTGTAACCCAGATACAGAGACAAACACCCAAGTAACAGTAGATGAATTTTGTATTGTCAAGAAGGGGTTAAGTCTGTGGATACAAGCAATAGTTAATGGCTTTGGGAATTCTAGGAAATGGGACACCAATGTGGGATAGGTGACATAAGGAAGGTTTCTTTGGCATCTGGGTTTTAAAGTTGGGATTGAAGGTAGAGAAAAGCTTTCAGCATAGAAGTGGGAAGCATGGAGGTGAAGGTAGAAACTAAGAATAAGTAAGATTGGTATAAGCAGAAGACCATTCCTGGTTCTGAATCTGTGATAATGTCTGAATGAGTTAGTCCAGATGGAAAAGCACAGATGGAGGGTGTGACGTGTTAGCTTTGCAGAATTAAGCTATATATTTCTTGAGACCAAAGGAAGTGTGAAAGATGGAAACACCTGTCTCTTAGGTTTAAGGAGTTAATAGTACCAATCCATAGAGATGAAAGTCCTAGTTATTTTAGAACTACATGGTTGCTCCACAAGGAAAAAGGCCTTTAAAATGCTTTTTTTTCCCTTGCTATTTTCAATGAAGTATTTAATCCTTCCTGACTTTGAGAGTAGTGAATATGTCTTGTGTTCATAAATTTAAGCAAGGATTAAGAATGTCCAGTAATGTGTGTGGTGTTTTTTTTTTAAAGTATGCTTCTCAATTCACCTTATTCTTTCTTTTTTTTTTTTT